TGTTTTTTTTTTTATTATTATTATCGTTACGATCATTACATACCACGTTACGATCGTAACGGAACACGACGAGGCAGAATTGCATACGTGATTGTTGGGGGTGAGAGTGGGTGCAGAAGAAGAGGACTAGATATAGGTACTGGAGTTAGGACCAAAGGTTACTTTCGGGCGAACATGATTTTCTCCAAGAGATATACCATACAAAGGCAATTGCAGAAAAAATAAGATTTTAAAATAGGACAAAATACTAATAGTCCGAAATATGCAATGAATAATAATAAATCAACAGGAATACCTATTAGGATACAGACAACTATCAAACTTTAGTGTCCTATTGGTCTCTTGCTATCAAATTGTTCATGAGCAAATGTCCACTTTTTTGTGAATGGTTTTCGCCAAAATTTGACACATATACATCACATAACACCATATATAACTATATACAAATTGGTGTTTTAAACCTGATGATCAAAAACAACAGTGCTTAAATTCGTGCGACTGGAGGTCTAGTATGCCTGCTCATAAATGCAATTCTTTAGACTGATCTGACTATAATGTGGTCTTCTCTTAAGCTCTTGTTAATCCTGGTATATTTATATGCACACAAATTGATCGGATAAATCGATAAAACAATAACACGTTATAAAAGACAATAGTGTGGTATATAATTATGTAGGTACCCATAAACATCGGAGCACATGACGTGTCTCGTTGTTTTGTCGGTTATACAACGAGAAAAAAAATTATTGTGAGGACGAAAAAATGTAGATTTAACATGAACGTTTCAGGCAACAACTACTTATAATATTTTAGGTACCTAAGCACTGTTTAAACGACTAATATGCGTCGAAACGCCGATTAATACTTAATCGTCTACAAGGGGGTTTAATGATATATTATTTAGTATCGAAAATTCGTCATGAGTTATTGCTCATTATGGTCTTAAAAATGTTCAATTTGATGTCGTTACACGTATTATACTAATGTCGTCCTTAAGACAATATAATATATCAACACTATAATATATTATAATGAACAGTTGCTTTCTTTGACAAACCAAGGTCGACGGTTTGGCGAGTAGTTTTGGTTTTTGATTAAACGCAATAATAATTTTGTACCACTAAGCGTATCTTAGCGACACATGCAAATAATAATAATTATGACAATAATATTGTGACGGTGCAGACATTGTAACAAAATTACTTAATTTCACGGTACGACTTTGCGCGATTTAAAATAATGAACTTCATCCGAAAGACTTACTGGCATACTACGGGTGTATGTGTATAATACATATTATGCATTGTATATAATATGATACATACATATAGTAGTTACCCAGTTTTAAACACAATAACATTATAAGAGGTACACGTATACCTCCCAATCATATTTTGACGAGAAACTATTATTATTGTTATATTATATATATATATATATATATAATAAATAGGTATAATTACCGACCAACACGTCGGCAGCAATTTACCTGAGGAATTTTCGTTTCTGCAGATTGAACGGAGAAAAACATCACCACGTCATCTTTGGGCACGTGTTAATTACATTATACATTAAAAAAACTCAATTTCATTTTTTGCACAAATACTACAATTGCATCTCCCAGCGATTACTGTTACCGCGAGAGTATAAAATAACAATAGTCTGTGCTTTATAATTTAGTATAAAATTAGTAAGACACAATGGCTATATGAATATTATACCTATAATAAGGCTATAGCCTACAACCAGTATATTATATTATGTATCATCCTATAATATTATCCTAAATATTATATTTAATAACATGTACTTATATTTATCCTTTTATCATATTATCCTTAGTATATAAAGTGACGACAAAATATGGTGATCGTTTAAAATTTGTTATCGCCATAAGTTTGTATCGCCACAGAGTAAAATATATGTACCTATAAATATTTAAAATTGTATTATGCCCTTTAAGTGTAGGCACTTAAATAATTCTTAAAACCAGAATTTGAAAAACTTCATTATTGATAAATTAAAAAATGGGTACAGCATGTCTAAAACTACATGGATAAATATAAGGTGGCTTGTATTATAAAGGTGTGAATCCTACTCGATTAATAATGAATCTACAAATGTTTAATTCTTTTCGGGTTTTTTTTTTTTTTTTATTTTTTTTAATTTTTAATTTTTATTTTTTTTTTTTTTTTCTTTTTTTATTTTTTTTTTTTGTTTTTTAAATTTTTTTAATTAAATTAAAAAATTTTTTTTTTTTTTTTTTTCTTTTTTTTTGTTTTTTATTTTTTTTTTTATTTTTTTTTTTATTTTTTCCTTTTTTTTTTTTTTTCTATTTAAATTTTATTTTTTTTTTTTTTGTTTTTTTTTTTTTTTTCTAATTTTTTAATTTTTTTTTTAAAAAAACTAGTTCAGTATGGAGTAAATTTAATTATTATGAATGACATTTTTTCGTATTTACTTTGCATCTTTTTTCTAAAATGTGCATGTACTCTGTATAGCTGTTATTATTTCCTGTCCCTTCAATGACCATCATATGGAAGTTTTACTATATTATAATATAGTTTAGTAATAAATAATAATAATAACAATATATATGTATATTATGAAACATATACGTCAATACATCAATCAAACACGTGTTTGAGAAACCTAAAAATGTAAAAAAGCAATCGATGTTCAAATAATGTAAAAGCACAACATTCGCGGCAATAAACATTATATACATATACACGTTATTATGGCAGTAAAATGTTTTTATGATGCAATTAAAAAGCATATTTTAACGTTTCGTTGTGACGGAAAAAAATAAGTTGATATATTAAATGTACATAATATTTCATGTTATTAATCTAATCGTATCTCTAATAATTATAATAGCAAATCGTAAAGTATCGTAACAAGTCATTGATAACTCTAGGCTGGCACTATAATATGTATAATGTATATATATATATTTATTTAAGTTTGTATAATAATAATACATAATATCGAGAAACGAATTCGGTTTGTCACGCGTGATTATAATATTATAATATAATATTTTTATTTTAAAAACAACGCCCGTTTTTTAAGCTCTTAGGCCACACATTATATTGTTGTGCATTCGTGTAGCGATGATTGTTCCGAGTTCCGACGAGGAGCTTGAAGTCATCGTGTCAAGCCAAACAACATTTTAGTGTACTTATTATTATTATTGTTATAGCCCGCGATGAGATTATTTGTTTGGAATTCACACGATTTACGACCGATTACGTCGGTTGCGCGGGTCGACGTTTTACGAGTTTACTTATGTGTGGTCGAGAGTTTTCTTAGGCTTTTTTTCAGCTATTTACTTATTTATTTATTTATTTACTATTATTTTAACTTTTTCTCCTTTTTTTTTACTGAGGTTATAACCATCGAAAATTACTATATTTAAACGTTACGACTGATACGCGATGTATACGAAACACGAGTTTCGCCGCTAAACATATAGACAAATATTGTACGAAAATGCGCCACGTAACGAGTGCATATAATATTATTATATGATAGACATTAAAATAGTTTGACGTATACACCTTAAACGGACACAAATTTATTGTGCGTTTATTTTTCTTTCTATTTACAAGGAAATAAGCGGTGACAGCGGCATGACGAATTGCACGTCATAGTAATTAGAAACGGACAGAAGGAATCGCGTGTCACTTATATACAGGTAGCCTATCCGGACGTTATCATCGATCAACGATTACTGTTTAATAATGTGATAACAGAGCTCCTAAGCGGAAATAATTTTCTCACCCTCATCGGTAGTGCGCAGAAACTGCCCACGGTGCTTGTCACTGCAACGTCCTTCCGTGAGAAAACAATATGTTAACTAATAAGACGGAATGCCGGTGCTATGGCAAATAGGATATAGAAAAACACTTTCTGTCGCCAATACGGACGTACGAGTTCGAGATAATTTTGTACACGATGACGTCCGATCAGGCGATTTTCATACGTCTGCATTAATATTCCCACGGTGTGCACACCTCTACTCTGATATAAATATCTTCCTAAATCCTATATATATACTTATGTTTAGTAGAGTGATTGGGGAACGTACCCAAACCAGATTTTAATCCAATCCTCATTCCTTTTCCACTCGCCCACCCCCTTCACACCTCACACAACATAATATGTATGTATGTAATATATAATATGGAAATTTATTAGATTTACAGAATATTAAACACCAATATTCATCTAATGTTACTCTTATATACATTACCTATACAATATTATATTAATATAAAAATACCATATTGATTGGTTTAGAGCAGTAAATTAATTTGAAAATGAATAAACATACCGGACAAGGACAACGCTTCTAGTAAAACAGAAAAGGAACTGCATTGGGGAAGAACATCGTATAGTGCAACCAGGGGCCTATATCCATGTGGGTGTTTTTTGTGTTTGAACATCCCGCATCAGCCGTATTTATGCAATAAATATAATATGCCCCATAATATGGCTAATGACGTTATATGATCATGATTTCTACAAAATATGTAGTCGTGTAGGTTTATTGATTATATTTCTTATATTAGTGATGACTTCAATGGAGAGTGAGTAAAACCCATCAAGGTCCACACATTTCATTAAATATAAAATTAAAACAAATCTAGTCTAGTCTACTGGCCTGCATAGTTCTGCAGGAATCACCTTTATGGCCATATACCCTGTATCACGACTAGACGGACCGACTATGGATGCTGCTGAAGACATATTATAATTTATAATATTACGTAAGAGCAGAGAGCCCATGAGTGAATATTATTCTTTTCTGCCGAAACAACGAATTTCGGTTCTGCCACGAAGAACGCATATTAACACAATATCATATTGTCGTCATTTATTAGACGCTGGCGATCATGTGGTGCCAACCAACATATCGATAATATTGTATAATGATATCAAACGAAAGGCGGCGGGGATAAAATGTGGAAGCAGCCACGTGGTGGTGTCCTTACCTGGAAAAAGAGGCAGAAGCACACCCACTGGTAGTAGCCGTAAGTTTTGCGGTCGTCCGCCTTGCCGCGGGTGTTGTCCACGCCTGGGTACGGGACGGCGACGCCCACCTTCTTCTTGAACGCCTCCTTGATGGTGTACGTAGAGTGTATCCAGCAGTACGTGTTGAGCACGTCCTCGGGTATGTCCTTGGTGTGCACGCAGTCGATCGGGTTGCCGACGTACTGCCGGGTGGTGACGATCAGGCTGAACGCGGACAACAGCATCACGGTTAGGCTGTAGTGGAGTCGTAACACGGGCGAGTCGATGTGCACGTGGCTGATTTTCACCAGGCTCTTCAGGCCCCGGAACACGTCAAGCATGGCGTACCGGGCCGGCGGGACACCCCATCCGTAAGCACCGCCGCATTCCCGCACCGGTCGCAATCGTCCGGGCTGTCAGCTGTCGCTGTCGGCGCCATCCACGTCGAAAACGACCAGCAGACGGCCGCCGCCGACCGCACTAGCGGCCGACATCATAGTGGCCACTGCGGCGTTGTTGTTGTTGCTGCTAGTGGTGGTGATGGTGGTGACAGCGGTGCTTCTATCGCTATCGCTGTCGCTACCGCGGTGATCGTCGTCGTCCTCCGACCCCCGGCACAGTGCCGCTCCTTCTTGGTGTTCCTCCGGCAGACACCTGTGAACGAAACGCCGCGTGTCATTAGCATATTACGTTAAACAATGACGTATTTTTTGGTTTTACGACGAGAAAAGAATTGAGAAAAATTGATGAAATCATCTTTGTTATAAAACGCTGGTTCAAATCAAGAACAACAACCTACCCCACGAACCACGTGTTAAAAAAGGATCGAAAAAATAATTCACCGAGGGGTGGCCGTTTAAACCGATAGCCTCGCAAATGATCAGGTGGCCAATCTCGCCATTGACGTATACTTGGATTCAAATTTCAAAAAAAAATTGCAATGTGGAGCTGACCGACCCTATCCCGTCCGCTCTAAGACTGCGTCATAAGTGCAAAAAGTAGCTCTCCCAAATATCGCACACGCGTTCGACAGCATAATATTAATAGGTATCGTTTACATACCATACGACGACGATTTTGCGTAACCCTATATAAGAAAACGTACCTATACGTCTCGTGATCGATCTTCGCGCGCCATGATGTATTATATGATGCCTACACGCGGTGGATATTGTGTTTCCGGTGCGTTAACACGCCCAAGTACTCACCCGTGTTCGCCTAACGTGCGGCGCGTGTCGCTATGATAATATTTAACATGGATATATGGGTGAGGTGCCGCGGAGACGACATACCTACAAGTCGGAGGAAACGAATATCTGTTTGCGCGGGCCCGACATATCGCATGATATTATTATTATTATGATATACACACTCGTATTGCAGCTTACGTCATTTAAGTTGGAGAAAAATAATATAATGTCTGAGCAAAACTCGCAAATTTCCTCACAGCGCACCACCGCGATCGGTTGTAAACGAGCCGCCGACGACCATTTGTAATATATAGTTATTCGCTCGGCCGATTCAAATTTGAGCGCTCGCCGTTTCGTAATCCGTTCGTGCTCGCGTTTCCAATTAGACGAATTATCATGTACCTTGAAGTCGGCCTTTGCGACGGACCAAGAAGACTTTGAAAAATAATCGTAGAACATCTTACGATAATTAATATTATGATAATCGGTCGCGTATATACATACACTCCGTATGGACATTATTATATATGTGCAAGCGTATTAATTAATATAATATATGTATACAAACATCATATAATATAAGCTCGTGTAGGGAAGACGTACCCAGGCTGCACGGAGAGGTGCACCACCTATGTATATTCTATAAGTACACGTGACTCACGCGACACGATTATCAGCGCGTTGTATTTATACCTATAAAAAACGTATAACGACGACGATGACGGATAAGACGATAATAATAAAAATAATAAATACGTATAAGACGGCAACGTCTTGCGGATCTTTATATATATAATATGTGTGTGACTGCTAACAGGGTTAAGATATATTTATATTAATATGATTACTATTATTATTATTATTATTATTATTATTATTATTATTATCGCATACACATATGCGATCGTGTAAAAGACGTATAAACGTATATATATGCACTATCCAGTGTAATGACGACTGTCTGCTCGCCGCCGCCAAAAGCCCGAGACCCTAAGAATATAATATTCCTCGTCCCCTAGGTCGTAAAATGAGAAAGAAATGAATAAAGAAAAACGCAAAGACGAAGCCATTTTTATCGTCGCCTGACGGACGCGTTTAACCGGCGAGGGGTGACCGACTCGGATCTGGTTTCGGATTATGCGGCACAGAGACGAGACACGGAATATTATAAAATATCAACCTCTATATAATACGCACGTGATAATAATAATAATTATAACGTACAACGCGTGTCGTTCACAGATTCTTTATACGTTTTATGTATTTATTTAATTTACTATTATTATTATTATTATTATTATTATTATTATTATTATTACCAGTTTCTGCAGAGGCTCTAAACGACGGTAATTATTTCGTTATTATTATGGTCGCAGTAAAATAATTTTAACAAGTCAATTCGGGGCTGCGGACCAGTAACACTGCAGGCCAGTAGAGTCCGAGCAAAACCGCTGCAGCCGCTGTTGGCAACCGTAGTCTCTCGAGAGTCTCGTCCAGCGATCTGATCTATAATATCATGTCTTTCTGAACAAAATAATAATAATACCGTTTGGTAAACCGTTCTCGATTTCCGAATCGCCTAATAACGATGGGCCCGATACAACCGATATTCGTCCCATTTTTTTTTTTTTTGTCCGGTCATTACTATAATATGCATTACGGCGGTGTTTATCGTAAACCTTTTAACACGTGCACCGCCGACGCCGTCGAGTAAATAAAAAAATCGGTAAACGCCACCGCCGACCGACTTTATATAACCGTATAGATATAGCTACATTATTATTATATACCGGCACGAAAGCGTTTATTTCTGTTTTCCCGCACTGCGCGTATTAAAACGGAAACGTAAATTAATCGACTAGGGTCCTCGTCGAGACATTATCGTATGCATACATTCGACATATTATTGTAAGCGCGTGTAGTTACGACCATCGTTATACCATCGACCAGTATTCGGGTTAAGGTTTCAGAGGTGTTCTCGCCGTGACGGTTATTTCACTCCACTATATAGAGGTTTAAATAAGTTATTTTTTCTAGAAAAATAACTTTACCCAGAGCATATACGTCCTGTATAACACTTAAGGAGTGTGTTTAATCTTGATGTTCTGTCCGAATTTTAAGGGAAATGCACTTTAATCATTAAAAGGTGGTCGATAAATTTAGTAGTTGACACACAAGTTTGCTGTAAAATAACTGATTAAACGTATTGCAGGTAAGTATGTTTTTGACATGTACATTGTTCAAAAATGATTACTTATAAGGTTCAGGTAATTTATTCAAAGAAAAGTGTTTTGTTTTATAATTCATTCCGTCGAAAACCCGATTAAAAAACAAGTAGGCACAGATAAACATATTTATTATTTCCTGCACTAAATCTATTTTACATTTTATTATTACATTGATCGTTGATGATCGAGAAAACCGTCAGTATCATAATCTGATATAGATTATAGGGCAGGGTTTCTCTACATGTGGTACACAAAAAGAAATCTCACTTTATAAAAAAAAAAAATCAATTAATATTAACATTAAATATGGGAGTTGTCCGCACAATGTTGACAGCTTCTAATCCCTTTAATGTCGTCATGTCGACATTATATTTGTGCGAAAAATATATTTTCGCCTCGCTCAAAGCAACACCAATCGTCTCATTAAAATATTTAAACCATAATAATTATAATAGTAATAAAAATAATAATTGTACCTATTTAATTTTAGATTTGAGCATTAAATATTTGTTATTTGACGCAATGGTAGGGTATGCGAAAAAATTTAAGATGTGATGATGTATATTGTGTATAACACGTGGGACTTGGGTTTAAAAAGATTAAGAACCACTGCGAATACGGCGTAGAACATTGGTCAGTATTAATTAATCCACACAATATTATTAATTAATAAAATCGAAACGATATAATACAATAATGTTAGTGACTTAGTGTATATATACTTAATTGTAAATCGTAATGAATTACACAGAATACTTTGATCATGTCACACTTCCATGTTCTTTTTCTTTAGACTGTAAAATAAAATGATTTAAATGACAATCTAGACAGATTATTGTTATTTATTTCGAACATGTTAACCAACGGTCATTTATCTGTGACAATTTTCCGACCTGCAGTATAGTTATCGTTGTATCAAATTGCACTAAATTATTTTTTTGGCATAGTTCAGGATTAATGGCATACAATACACTTTTTTACAACTATCATTGACCAAATTAAAGAAATGCTTTAGACTTTAACTGTAAAAACATCATAACCCATTATAATAAAAAACTGATGTGACACGTACTAATATTTCGTAAAAAGTTTTCGTTACAGACTATAATTAGTAAAGATACAAACTAATCTCCACGATTTTCGAGCTTTATATAATATTATTGAATAATTTATTATCGTTGATGTCGAAACACGAGAATAAAAAACCTACATATAAAAACTCCAGTAAATAACCCTAGTGCATATTATATTTATTTTTACCAGATTTAAAATAAACTATAAACATAAACTCGTACAAATAACTACTGTGTGTACCTATACTGTCACTAGTAGGTGGTATAATTGGAAATATTTATTATTTGGTAGACTTCGAAAAAACTACTTCTTTAACATGTGCTCTTTAACAACTCAAAAAAACAACGACAGAACAAACATACGGGACAGGAATTATTTTTGATAAAAATTACTAATTCAAGTATTAATAAACTAATTTTCAAATTGAATTAAAGAATTTTTTTTTAAACATATTTTTCTGCAGAAAACCCCCTACATAGGAACACAGAGCCATTCGATTTTAAAAATGTATAAAATATAAATCAAGTCTGAACTATTTTTTAAAGAAATTGTACCAAACATTTTCTTTATAATGAGCGGTAAAATTAACAAAAAAAAAATATTCATTACACCCTCATGGATTAAAAAATGTTTGACTTAAGAAATAAGTATATCTATAGTTTATACTCTATACTAACTAAACCAAGAGTTCAAGTGACAATAATACCACGATTAATTAAATTATGTTGTTGCCTTCTAATTATATTTTGTTGCATCTATGGTCAGAGGTGAGTCGTCCTGCCACTCGTAAGTCATCATTTTCGCCTCTTACTAATTATATTTTCTATACCTAATTTGTATGGCACAAATGGTATACAAATCGGGTACAACAATATAAAACCGGCCTGAACGATTTATACATGTAGTTCAGTGATGATCCGCTAAACGTTGCCTCTCATGAACCATGTTGAGATTCCACTCACCCTACAACCTGCAGCGGATTTAAAATCACTCATCTATCGTCAGAGTGTCAGACACGACGAAACGGTGGTGGTTCGTAACAATGGGTTATACATTTGAAAAGTTTGAATATTATAATATATATTTAGATGTATAATCCATGTCGACATTGTAACGTATTACAATCATTGAAAATTATCATCGGACGTGTCCAAATTCGAGTAGCTTTTTGAGAACGGTCAATGTGATCTGAGAGTTGAGACGATAACGACGAGTGACGAAAAACCGTTACCCTCTTTAGATACCGATCATTTGGCAATATTGGTTAAGGTAGGTAAGTCTATAATTATTGCATTACATAGGTGGTACTCACTTTTTCCGGTAAGGCAGTACGGCGGGGAGAAATCCACGTTTCGGGGGTTGTGTATTTTACTTGGAAACCGGTTCCGACGCACGAAACACCGAGTACGGGCTCTTACGCCCCGCCGGATAACAATGACACGATTCTCGAATTTCACGCTGGTGTATTACAAGACATTACGACGGTGTTGTGTATAGACGACGCGACGGCGGCTGAAGACGATGACGGCTGTGGAAAAGTGTCGGATAGCGACGACCACGGACCTCGCGCGATAAACCGAACCGATTCGAATCCGCCAGCGCGTAAGACCAAATACCAAATAATATTATACACTCAATAATAATGGCGATAATACGATATTGTCGTCGTGCGCCGCAGCGGTCGTCATATTATGTCGCGTGATGACGTTATACTCGTCGTAATGATATTATTGTGCGTCGTCGTCGTCGTCGTCGGCTACACACGGCGGCGGCACTCGCACGACTTGTAGACGTACGCACAGACGCCTAAGTACGGAGACGGAGTCCCCTGAGCGCGACCACGTCTCCGCCGCCGCCCGCCACACACGCACGCGATATTCGCTCCACACACGCGTTCTATATTTAAATCGCCCTCCTCTCCGCCCCGTTCGTCGGCGGCCCGACCGCGTGTGTCCGTGTGGGCCTGTGAGCGAGTGTGAGTTGGAGTGTGCGAGCGGTCCGCGTCGGCCTGTAAGTTCGACTGTATATGTGTGCGTGTGTGCGTGTCGGTCTGTATACGAGTGCGTGAGTTCGAATAGGGTTTGCGAGATAGTGTGCGTGTGTGCAGAGTGTTGCGGTCTCTCACCGATTCGATTGACTCTCACTCCGGAGCGCCTATACAAGTTCGTTTTGTGTAAGACGTGTGAGATGCGCGCGTACAACTAACTATGATGTATTGAATCAAAAAAAAAAAAAACACGGTTATAATATTAGGTATCGTAAATACACTCTCTTCGCTAATTTACGTAAGTATTGAAACGATCGAGATGTCTCGAATCATTCGGATCGAATGCAAAAACCGAAGCGATAAGGAAATAGAAACGTTTTTTAAACAGTCCTATGTTCGGTATGCATTTAACGTAGCCACGTAGGTATAATATGTGTGTATTAGTTATGGATTTCTGATAGTTAATCACTTGAACGTCTGTTTTGATACGTCATATCAATAGTTCGTTCGTGTGAAGATAAACTTGCAGAGCTGTGATTTTATGTTCGTTTCGCTATCGAGTCATCGTATTTATATTATTTTTTTTTAATTACAATTTATATTTCTTCAAAAGTTTAACTATGTATATTAATTTATACAGTTCTGATTGTTTAAAAAATTGTATAACTTTGTTCATTGTTGGTATTACTTCTGTTTATTTATATAATTTACTATTTTGGAAATATTTTACGTATCTTATCAATTTTGCACCGGTAGGCTCTAAATTTGGCAAACGTACACCTATACACTTTGTACTGAGTTTTTCAGCAGAGAACTGTTAACCAGGGAAAGTCAAAAGGTGACGTGAGTGAATACGCAGGCTCCAAGTGCATTCTGTTTCACCACAACTTTTTCTTACCCTTCATTTAATTAAGATATCGATATGAAATTGTTTTAAATATATTCTGACCATAACGACATAGAAAACGATAAGCACAATTCCTATTTAGATAGAATGTTCGTAGACTCCACCATGCATGCACCACTCCATACCTGGCTATTCCTTTTACGCCACTCAAAACTCGAATACGTCTCATTTTTACGTCAAAATCATAAAGGTATCCCTGCGGTTTTTTTTCCAAGAAATAATAATTTAAGGCAAAGTTTGATTTTTATTTGATTTGACACGGAAAACACTTTAACGTCTTATTCAAAAAATGCTCAAACGTAAATTAAACGATTAAAGTCTGAAGTGGACCAAAATGTATCTTTTAGTCTTTAATCATTGATTTTCCAAAGTTGTTAATAGGTTAACTATCCCAAATTCCCTGCCCTACCCTTACCTATGAAAGTATAAATTATAAACTATATAGGTGTAGGGGTATACAACATGGTCCATAACGCTCTGGACACTGGACAGCACATACAACCCTAGCTGTTTTCAAATAGCCACAGTTTGTAGGTATATATTTTAATAATCAACATTTAACTTACGTGGAATTTATTTTTAATTTATTCGAAAAATTGATTTCTAATTCAACGGTGTTAAACGGATAGTACTTTACAAAAATCACGAAACACGCGGCTTAATATGGATGAGTATTCCGGTCCGGTATAGTTGCAGGTGACAGTAAATAGTAAGACTTTCCAAGTATTTTTTCTTTGTAGGATCATAATATACGCACAACCATTGAATGTTCAAATCCAGCAATAAATTTCATATTTATACAATTATTATAATATAGATATATCATTTATAAAAATTACCTAACGTTTTGGTGTTACATAATGCTCTAGAAAAATAATATCAACTTTTTTTTAAAGCATTTATAATAGTGGTATCATTTGTAATCAATTTTTTATATCAATCACACTCAATAAGTTAAATTATGACTACCGATAGAGGTATACATATTGTGTATTATGGATAAGTAATTTTATATCATATGTAATACTAATTACCGCAGTACAATTTGGTTAGTCAATTTATTGAGAAATTTGAATATGCTTATCGAAACATTGCATTAAAAAACTTTTTTATATCAAATTTTAAGTAGGTTTCATTAAAAAAAATTCTTATCGAATAAAATGATTCAACGTTACATAACATTTTCCATTCGGTAATGCCAGTCAAGTAAAATGTTTTTAAACATATAATAATGTATAAAACTATTTTTTTCTTCGTTTAACTGCTTTATTACGTGAAAATATATGTAAATATACAAAATTTACTACAATACTATTTATCTTTGTGAAATATGTATAGGTATTGTTATCTATTAGCCTCCCTGTACATATTAGTAGGTTTTTTTTAGAATTTTAGAATGATATCCTTCGTTATAGTCCAATTCAGTAAGAGTATACTATGAGGGTAAGCGAATATCTACGGTTCTCCTCTGAGATTTTATATTGGAACTCGTAAGTTTACGGCGTAGAAGGTTGGTGAATTACATCAAACTGTGTTCGTTTTATATTTGCAAGAATGTTATATTGTCATTTCTATCGTATTTTTAATATTAAAGTCGATCGCGAGGAGTAAAGTCACAGAATCAGTAGTCCTGTGTTCTTTTTCTGCATTAAAGGAAGAAATACGGACTGATGGGAGGTACATTTATATACTCCCCATAAAATGTAAAACTTCTAATTCTTTTTTGAATTGAATTTCATAACGATTAAGGTTATTACTTATTATCTTATACTTGCACAGCTCTTTTATAAAGAAAAAAACGCCGATCCGGTAGAAAATCCCACGAACCTACTGTTTGTAATTATAATTTATAGCTTAACATTTCCATAGTAATGTTCACCATAATAGCATTAAAACTTTTTGAATAATATATATTCAGGGCCTTCTAAAGCAAAACTATAAAGAAATATAGGTAGGTACCTACCTACCTATGTGTTGAATTCATCGTAAATTTGTATATACGCTATACCTCAGTAGTAATTCTATATTATTCTGCCATCATGAAAGAATCGTTAGTATTATTTATGTATCTGCGTTAATATGAGTATTTAAGTAGTTGCAATCTATGGATTTTACCATCAGTGGAATTTGCATGTTATAAATCCAACTCTAAAATCGACTTCCTACCAATAAATCGATGGGATTTACAATCGCCCGATTTACTTACTGTAATATCTTCCGAATAGGTTAAATATAATATCTGCACCAGTATAAAATATATTATGATATATATATGTATGTATGACATAAGCGATAAGCAGTATATTATAGGTAAGGTAGTCGGTAGGTATCTACTCCAGGAATGTATGTGTATTCCTTGTGATACGTGTAATATGTGGGTATGTGAGAACAATATATGAACTGATTTGATTACGTATTACTTAGTTAGGTAGAATTGTGTATGTACTAGTACTATGTAGGTATCTTCCTATAATAATAACTATAATAAGAAAGCATAACAAATTTACGGATTTGGATACCTATATCAATACAAATGTTCATAAACAATCACTAAAATATGCATCCAGTGTTGTGTAGAAACTTTCAAAACGAACTCCATTACGTTACTAATTTTTACCTACTAAATAGGTAACTATGTAGGTACACCATTCGTTTTCCCTAACCCATACCTATTTATAATTATCATTTCATTATTTCACGCTGTAAATACGAAAAGGTAACGCGCGTCGTGTTGAACGTTGGTAACTAATTTGCAACTAAACTAACTATCTGCGATAGTTGATAAAAAGCAAGTACAACACCTATACAGTCGATAGAAAATACCACTCAAAAACGACAGAAAATATAACCTCGATTGAAAAATGGAAAACCGAAAATCCATGCCGGACGAGGTGCGGTGCGTTCAAAATAGGCACAAATAGTAAAAATATTTCATGAAAATCGAACGGGCGGTGCTGGCCAGCTCGTTTTTACACATATATCATAAACGGTTCGTGGTTTAATTTCGGGCCTAGAATCTAAAAGCCAGAATAGGATAGAACGGCATGTGACGTCATAGAGTTATTTTAACTACGAGATTATCACTGGAATACACTTTTTCGTCCGCAACCGTTGTAGTAGGTATATGGTCGTAATATATAATATATACTATTGCCGCAATACGCGATCCCCTCACGCTGGAACGGATTATTATTATTTTTACTATTACTATTATAACCATTATTTTTATTATTTTTTTTTTAACACCGCTCGCATTTTAAATAGACATTACGTCGCAGTATAACATATACATAGAGCTTGGAGGTGTCGCCTGACGGAGTCGATTTATAACTTTACGGATTTCTTTCTCACTCGGGACTCACCCTCTCTCTTTCTCTCTCACTGTCTCAAATCTTTGAAAGTATATAAATGTATAAGTATAAGTCACAGTTAGTATATATAGTCACACACGTCTCCTAAAATTGTATAAAACTCTTGATAAAAATGTCCATCAGCAATCACGTGAAGAAAACATTCATTATACAATTATGTCTCGTAATGTGAGATTATAATATTATAATCTACTCTAATACCTAAACCCAATTAATAGATAACTATTATTGTCTAATATTTACCCTTTTTATTTGGTGCAAAATAAATAGCCTGTAACCAAAACGAGTTAACTGATTTTGACGCAAATGGGCAATTCCCAGCCGAATCACTTCAATTCTTGGGATGTCACCCACCCAAGAACAAATAATAACAGCATAACACTAATACCAAATGGCTTTTGAAGTGTCCACCATACTCCACAGCCCACTAGAATAACACGAGTTTTGAATTTTTAACATCAGTAGGTAGGTACTTACAACAATCAAACTTGAACATTTTTAACTTAATGACTTAATGACTCGCCAGTAGTTATAATTTCAAATGCTTGCTATAAAATCTCATATTTAATCTTCACAACAATTTAACAAGCTTCACTACAATCAAAAAATAAAATGTGTATATTTAAACATTTAATACGTGTATGAAGTACCTAAACCTATACATTTTCGACTGAATAATCTAATTACAATAACAATAATTTGATAATAGCAGTACTTATACATTATAATTATGAACGACTATTTATATTACAGTCCAAAAATAATTTGCAGTAGAATACGTTTTCAATGAAAACATGGTATATCGTGTAGGGCTACCTAACCAGTACTGAGCGAGTAAGATATGTAGGTGGTGCAACTGAAAAATTCTTGTCTCAATGACAAAAACGTTCATTTTAATCTATAAATTAGTTAAAAATTACTATAGTTTACAAGCTACATGTAAAGTTAGTTAGATAAACCTAATGTACGTGTACCTAGGGGCTAAACTTGAATAATTTCGTTCGTTATTCGTCAAGGCGAGGTTTGGTTATTGATTTTTAGACTTGCAAATCATACACCTAAAATGAATAATATAGGTAGGTACTTCTTTTGTATATTTTTATTTTTTGGGGTGGATTACACACGGCCGTCTGTATGTACAATTTCAAACATTTTTGGATCGGAGCCCCTAATTTTTTTTTTTTTTGTTATTACCAAAACTTTTATGCATAGACACACAATGAATCCAAGATGAGCCTAAATATAAACCGCTATACACGCATGTGACTGTGAACAAAATTCAGATATAATGTGCGGACGTAAACTGTAAATAATAAAATACAAATATATATATTTTATTTACTTTTTTGGGAAGTTCATCACTTATATGTATCAACTACTAATATGAATCGTGTATGGCAATTCTGATTTCAAATGTTTGACACCTGCAACGACACAACACAATGAATATACGATTGTTATTTGTTATTCATACAGCGTGTGGAGTTTCGCATCACATAAGTAACATAATGTATATTGCCGGTATCTACGTGATAAATCAGTAACATAAAAACTATACATTTTATAGTTTTATCTTTTCAGTATAAATCATAGATGAGTGAAATACACGTACATATGTACAAAACCAAATAAAGCCATAAAAACTCGCATTAGGTATGGTAATTTAAGGACCGAATCGTCGCAATGCATCATATACAATACAATTCACCGAGATGGATGTCATGATGAATGAAAATAATTAATATCTTATTCATACGGCATATTAATTTAAAAAAACACTGATTATAAGTAAAGTAAAAGTGGTAGGTAAACGCGCTGCAGAGAATTTGACTGAAAAACAAGACCCTTTGGGGGTCGCCAACAATTATTTTAGGGTCGTCAATCCATGTGGGAAAAAAAATGTTTCACTTAGAATCTTATAATTAATAGTAAGTGCTATAATATATATATATATATTTTTTTGGATAGTCCGGTAGTCGATAAAAACGTTCATTGAAGTGTACATAATATACCTTTTTTTGTGAAATATATATACACAAATAAATACAATAATAACAGTTAGTTCAATTTTTTAATGCTTACATTATAAAAGGGTCGTTGGACATCTTGGTGACAATGTGACATTATAGGGGGTCGCGAACTCAAAAAGGTTGAGAATCGCTGGGTTATAGCATAGGGCTGGCGCCTGGCAGTTTATTTCAATGACGCCATACCGGTGTACCGTGATTCTGTGATTACTGTTGTTCCCAAAACTGCCTTTTAAATTTATAACTCACAATTTATATAATCATAATAACTACAAATATAATTTTTTTAAATATATGTAAAATTTGGCTGGGTTGAAACACTTCTAAATTTATCGAAAATACTGATTACCGAAGTATAGTGTTTTCGGAAGGTATTTACCAAGTTATGATAAAACGAGTAATACCTACCGTAGATACCGATAAGTAAACAAATACTGAATACCGGTATTAAAATGTGAAATATTGCCAGCCCTACGTTAGTACAGATCGATAATTTTTTAGTTTTTTTATTAGGTATCATTATTTTTGTTATTGAATGACATTTATTTTTGTCTACCTGGACAAAATAATTTAAAACCAGCATACTCGACTAATACTGGACTCAAAATGAAAAAGTATAAAATAATTAAATAACTGACGACTACATTTTATTTATTCAATTTTTTTCTTTAAGCAAAAAATGTGTATTGTATAGAATGTAAATTTAAGATTTAATACATTACTATTTTAACATTAAATAACCCTGAAAACTAGACAATTACATACCCTTTTAACATCTTAAGTTTAAAGTAATGACTTAATTGACTTAATGACATTAAATATTAACTATACATTTTGATGTATTTTAAATGTTGTAAAGAAAATCTTATTGTAATCATATTATTTATACTGATTTCACTTACATTATAAAAAGAGCTGTTTTTAATGCGTTATTACTATTTATAACTATTACCAGTGCAAACATTTGGAATGGAATTTTCAAAAAAGTAAAATTATAAACAAGTTTTTTTTAATAAAATTGTCTTGAAAATCCCATAAATTGTGTTTAAATATTTACACATTTTTATGCTACTATGAGTATAATATAAAGAAGTACAACATTCATATATAAGTATCGAATAATTTACCATATGAAAATGTCTTACTAAACATTAGATAACAAAAAAAATGTAAAAAATATTAAACTTCAGGCTCGAAAAAAGTGTAAATTTTCAACATACCATTATACAAATTTAACTTACATATAATCAATTAGTGTTCTTTTGAAATTCTTTTCCATCCAACATAGACTGAAAAAAAATTATGGATTAAAATTTGAACATGTAGTGAAAAATTAAAAGATATTGATAAAATTATCAGACTAATCATTTTTCCTAAATTTACAGCTTACTAATGATTTTTAAAAGGAGAAAATAAATTAAAATGTCCGATACATGATTTTAACTTAAAAACATACACATTACACATAGTATATAACATTTGATACTTTAAGTGAGATTTGTATGTTAAATTTTAAATTTCAAAAGTTAATTGGTATGACTAAACTATTCATTTTAAAATTATTTTTAATGTCAATCTTTCATTCAAAAAATGTATGTAATCATATTGATGAAATCAAATATTAAGTACCATGAAAATTTCTCCGCATTATTGTCTAAAAATTGTACAAAAGTTTCTTACCAACATAAAAAGTAGGTACAGTTAGATATAAACTTTTACGGGTGATTCTGAATCACTAACCCACATCACTTCTTCAACTGATGTAATTCAAAACTTTATTTCTGAAGACTCTTTAGTCTTTAACAAGTATTTATTAGTCATGGTTCAGACAAAAATGTCATGCAAATGTAAAACCATTAAATAATAAGATTTGTTAACCATACTATACAATAAATGATTTCAAATAAAATAATATATAATATACAATTATCACCTAATTTTCTTTATGATACTTAAACGTATAACTATCAATTGAAATAAATTTTGATGTAATTAAAATGTAAGTTCATATGTTCTCAAATGTAATTACTTTTATTAGTTCTACCAACTATAACAACAAATTATTCGGGTCCCTTGAGTCATTATAACTTATTTCTGCTGTATATATTATACTTATAACCAGCCTTAAATATTCGTTTTAATGAAATATATTATGTAATTACAGTTTGTACAATTATTTATAATATTTAAAATTGTTTGATCAACAGCAAATTTATCAAATATTTCAACTCAAAAATGCTTTTATGCCAAAATGGCAATGGTGATTTGTCCTAAACAAAATATAGAAATATTGAATACCTAGACAAACTGTTAAAATTAAGAAACACTTATCAATTTTATTGGTCAATCAACACATGAGTTGTTAAATTAGTAATAATTTTATCAAATCAAATGTTGAGTTAGAGGGTACAATACATTAATTAATTGCTGTAAACAAAAATATGCCGTCGTACTTGTTTTAATTACAATGAAGACAGTAAAATATTTTTATGTTTATTACTAAACATTTCATAAAATAAAAATTAATTTTTAACTAAAATATCTATAAATTATAATTGATTTCAATTATTTTAGTTAATATAACATGATAACCAAGTAAAATAATAAATTCATTACCTTTTAATTATTAAATTATGGACAAACTACATCATATAGTAATATAGAATAGTAATGTAAATTAAAAGTAAAATAAACTTATAATGTCAGATCATACGTAAAAATATTAATTTCATAAAGATGTAAAAATATTTTTAGTACTTTTCAAAATGTCTGATTTTATCTTGTTATAATTGTATTATTTCAAAGTAATACTTGTGTAATTAATAATTCTTTGGTATGTGGTATTAAGTATATCTTAAGTCAAAAATTGACATTTTTGGCTTACAGTATGATTAGGATCAAACATTTTTATATCTGTATAATTTTTTGGTGCAGAACACGTAAGGCATAAGTATAACTCACTATCAATGAAATTTGTTTTGGTTTAAAGTTTTAACACTTTAAGTCATATCATATTAGGTACAAAACACGAATGTTTAATTATGAAATGGGTATCTGACAGATAAGATAATTTTAAAATGATCTACTATCTAAGTTTAATAAACATTTTAAATGTATGCCTTAATACCGCAAGTTATATAAAATAAAAATCCTAGTATTAAGTCACTTAAAAACCATGAAAAATTGATTATAAATTTCTACACAATAGTTAACAAAAAAGTAGGTATATTAAATATTAAATTAAACTAATTATCAGCCAAAACATTCTTATCAACGATTTTGATTAATTTTTGTTTTCTCATCATAAAAACTAGGCGTTTTTGACTTATAACATTTATACTATACACCAAAGAATTTTCTAGGATTATACCTGTACTATTAGTGAATCAGCTAAAATCTGTAAATCTTGCTCAGCTTTAATAAGCTAAAAAACATAAAAAATAAATAAATTCAACCAACAATACTTTTATTATAATATAGTCTAAATTAATTTATACTAACCTTATGGATGTATTCTATTTTTGATTCTAAATTATCAGTATGAATCAAATTTTGTTTTTCTATTAGTTCAAGAAAATCTTGCAGGGAAATTTTGATTGAGCCTTCATTTATCAATGGAGTTATGTTTTTGTTGTTTGAAATCTTAATACATTCATCAAATTCTTTTTTTATTGACACCAAGTCCATAAATTCAGAGCTTGAATCTGGTAGCTGTTCCTATGAATAGTAGAATATATAAATATATATTGAATAATGTATATTATTTATTATTTTTTTATTTGAGCTTAAATATGATCAATAATGACTATTAGTTATTACTTATTACTTATTAGTAAGGACAGGATTTATATTCTCTTAAAACACCTAAAACATTCTCCAAAAAACCTTCAAATATTCTCATTATATTCTCTTCAAGTTTAAAAAATATGCATATCAAAAAACATCAAAATAATATGCATTTTTTTTTTCATAACAATCCCTATATCATCAATGATGTATAAAAACATGCATATTTGCAATTAAGTGGTTTTTTATTTTATGCATTTTAAAAACTTAAAAATCATGCAATTGCAATTAAAAACAAAAAACAAACATAATTTACAAAGGCCAAAACAATCAACAAAATATTTGGACTTTCAAATATTTGATAAACAATAAACATATACATTGATCTTATCAATATGAAAACTGCCAGGTTTGAAAGTTATCCCTTATGTTTAGTGAACACATAACTCTTATACTACTAGACAAGCAATCAATACATGGGAAGCGTAACAACATAGAAGGCACTTTTTGATTACTCAATTACTCATACACAGGGTAGTATAGGATAGAAGAGTAAGATAAATATATGTATAGATCAGCGGTTCCCAACCCATGGGCCGCTAGCAGCTTGGTACTGGGCCGTGAACCATATAATATTATTATATTATTATAACTGCTGTATGTATATATATATGTGCTTATATAAGTGGGCCTTAGAGATTTTTTTTACAAAATTGGTGGTCCGCACAACTAAAAAGGTTGGGAACCGCTGGTATAGATTATTGTAGTTTTTCGTCAAGACAGTCACAGCACTGCAAAATGTTGTTACGCCGCTCATAATGCTGTCGTTATACAATTTTTGTCTAGTAGTATAAGGTCTATAAGTGAAGGGCATGACAACTTATGATAGGGGCTATAACATTGTATGTATTCTATTTATCAAAATTATACATAAAAAATTTCCAGGGTACCATAGTATTAAAATGAATAATGAATTAATATGTTGTTTACACAATTTACAATATATTCCAAAATATGCTAAATAAGATAAATATTCCTTAACTTATAAAATATTCTAAAATATGAAAAAAAACTTTTTCCCACAAACACAGAATTGAACGAATCGTCCACATTTTTACTTTCATAAGATTGCATGGACTCATTAGCGATAGAAACATATATATCCGGTCTTTCCTTACTAATTATTAGTAATACACAACATATAATATATATTTTGATTATTTACATATATTTTATTCGTACAACCTACCTCACAATTTGAAGGCGTTTTAAAATCATTATTTTCATTAGGTAATATGGGTTTATTTATGATCTTGATCAACTGGTCTGAAATGTCATCAATACTCTCACTGTTTTCATTTAGTTCCGTTCCATCTTTTAACTTTGATATAAGCTCTGGAGGAAGATAATTTTTTTTTTCAACAGACTAAAAAAAAATATAATTAGTAAAAAGAACAATTATAGTTTATTGAACATTCAAATGTTATAATCTAATATTAATAAGTTATACAATTATAACAAGCTCCGAAAAAACATAGTTTATAGAGAAATATAATAAAATGTGCATCTAAGTAAAGCATTAGAGTTTAGAATTTATCTATTATGTACAAAAATAATGTACCATAACATTTCATTTCATTTTAAATCATATCTATTATTTCCTCTCAGTCTTTTGGCTGGTCAAGCATAGGAAAGAATATTGTTCATGAACGCATATTCACAAGTTCACATTCAAACTTAGTGAATCGATACACAAACATCACTTTTTTTCAAATTCAATGTGAACGTGAACAATGTTTATATTTTGATGAATTTTTTAACAATTTTAAAAATGCTCAATTTATTTACCATTCAATAAATATATGTTCAAAATATATTAAAAAAAATTGTATTATATAATAACATTTAGAATTTTCTTTTTATAATTCCTATAAAAAGAAAATTACAAAAAAATTAAATGAGCGCCCCGGTGAAGAAATTTATTTTTTCAATGGATGTGAACGTGGACATTTGAAAAAAACACAAACGTAAACGAGTTCGTTTATTAAGGACTGAACATGAACGAGACCAAATTCATTTTTTTAGTGAACGTTCTCAACACTGATTATTAAAATACACAATATTAAATAAATGGAATAATAAAATTAATTATGTTTTACCACTCAATACATTTTACATGATAATCTACTCTATACTCTGAACAAATAATAATATCAATGATAAATAAATTTATATAAACTCTTACTCGAAAATAATTACTCTTTTCGTAAATGCCATTCATTAGTTCATCATAACTCGGATATTGAGTAGTGATTGTTGTAGTTGGTATCAAAGATTCAATAATTTTTTTCCATGTAGCTGTATGTAACTTTGTTGACATATTACCCTATAAATATAGATTAAAAATAATTTTTTTTATTAAAATTGACAATACCCTAAAACAATGATTTAGTAACAAAGTAACTTTGCTTACTTTTAAAAAATTTTGTGCAGCTATTTTATCCAACAAACCAAATGACACAAGTATATATTCTAAACCTAAAACAAATCATATATTATATTAGTAACAATACATAACTAACTACAAATACTATATTTAATTAATAAATAATTGTTAAATGTTAATTACTATAGGTGTTTGAGTATTCAGACTCAGGATCAATATCCAACAACAATTTATATACCAAAACTTTTATAAATTCATCTCTGCTGGGTCCATTCTGGAATATCAATACTTGGAGATTTTCATCATCAATATCAACTAAATGCATTAAGTCAACCTTGGTGAAACGGTTACGTACCCATTCCAAAAAAACCTTCATAATGTAAAATTATGATGTACAAGTGGTAAACTGAAAAAGAGTAAAATTTGCATTCAAAATATATACATTTAATTTATTTATTCACCACAATCCTATGCAGTGATAAATGATGAAACCAACACAAACATCATAAACAACATTCGCCTTTGTATCCTGTCGGCTTAAAATAGCCCACATCAATGTTGAAGAACAGACAAAGATTTAATTTAAATACTTGCTTTCATTTAAGTAATTTTTTTTTATTAAAATATTCAATAAAAATATTATTGAATTTAGACCTTAGTGACTATTACTTACTAGTTCAGTAGACCATTACAAAGTACAGAGCAAAAGGTTAATTTAAATTTGAAATCCAAAATTATGTTTACGACTGAATTCGTTAAAAAAACTTAAAAGTTTAAACAATAAAATTAATATCTGTTAGATTAATAATTTTGTAGATTTCCGAAAAAAAACGGTCATCACTCATCAAGTTATCAACTACTATCAACGTGAAAAACATGAAGGCTACAGCAGGCAGCTGATAAGGATGTCAAACTCCACCGAAAAAAACGTCCCGTAAAACATCGCACACTAATTTCTCCACTAGTCTGCGTGGCGGTCAAGTCGGAGGCTGGCTCGGAGTGTAATTAACCCGTATTAGATAGGGACATACTCGACTTTATTACCTTTAAAAAATTATAATTAGAAAACTAAAAATTGTATTCAAATTATAATTACACCATAGTATTCAGCAAAAATTTATCTTTAAGAACAAACTACTTAAATAATAATAGTGTTTCATATTTAGGTAATAAATGTTCATATAAATAGTAAAAATAGGTAGGGAAACTATTACGTTTACATAATATTACAACAATAATAGAATTGAAATGTGATTTTACTATTTAATACATAATATATTATACAATTTATCACTTAGAATTTAGAAAGAATCTTTCATTCGTCACCAAGCAATGATGTAGGTAAATAAAACCTAAATTTGAATTGTTAATTGTTATTGTTAACTTTAATTTAGATTAATAGGTATTGTTTCCTACAATGATTATATTCTTTTAAGTTTTAAGTTTATGATTTTTTGCATCCAATCACTATAATAAATTCCACTCAAAACTAGCCTTTCATGCCCACTTATTGCCATTTAAGGTAGAGTAAACTTGCCTGAAAATCCTCCTCGTCGGTTAAAAAGACGCTGGTATAGGGATTTATTAAATCCCTAACCTAAACTCCTCCTGAGGGTACTGTCACTGGACAACCTCCCTCCTCATACTATTCATGTGATGTTAATATTATTCTAATATCCAATTTGCTTATTGTTCCTATGTTACAGATTGTAAATGTTTCTATTTTAATTTTTAAAGAAAAGTTTATGATTTTTTATTCATTTTTATAAGAGTATAAACATTTCTTTTAATTTTAAATTTATTTATAATTCAAGTTTTTGAAGTATTTGTAAGATGTGACTGATTATTACTATAAGTTTCTTTTAGCAAATATCTAAGCTATAATATATAGCAATCAACACCAAATTGATTTTACTACGTAACATTTCAATCAAAAAAAACTTAAGAATTCAATATTAATAGGATAAAATGCCACAATTTATTTAAAACAGAAAATATTTCTTTCTGTCCATCTTCGAGGGTAAGTAATATTCAATATAACATTTACCTACTTTATATTGAAGTTGTAAAATCAAAAACTAGCATAACTTCAAATACCCACATAATAAATAAAACAAGCATGTATAATTTGGATACTTTCCTACTTTTGTTTTTTCCTTTCTAGTCATAGTATCTTTATAATTAGCTCTTTTTACAATAAAACACATGTGAATTGACCGAAAATCGGTCAATGGCTTTAGAAAATTCTTGCTTATGACTTATGAGTTGTGATCAACAGTCAATACAACCTACTAATATTGCCAAAACTAGATTTGCTATGTTAAAATATCCCTTCACATTTTTAGATTCTGAGCGAAGCGATAAATGTATTAATATGAATGTAATTTATTCCAATATAGATTTGTACAGTTTTTTTTTAATATTATTTATTTTTTAAAACTTTTATTTGAGATTTCTTGTTTAACAATTAATATTTCAGATTTTAAGCGATGAAAACGATGAATGTATTAATTTTCAATATGATGTTTTTTCGTATGTAGGTATACACAATAAGTAATCGAAATAATGTTTCAATATCCAACCTAAGTATCTTTCTTGATGGGAAAGTGAATCACTATGACACATACCTATAATAAATTAGCAACGAATTTATTACTCGGTATGCCTATTGTAAGTACTATACTAGTAATCTAGTAATCTACTGCTAAACTTGTAAGTTACTAATAATTACCAATTCAATATAGATGAGTTTTAAATAAGAACCAATAATATAATGATCAATAACCCACCTTTGAATCCGCCACTTGTTTATGCAATTCTTAAGTATACCAGGATTACGAAACAAATTCGGCCAAAGATATGGTTACAACCATAACGTTCTGCAGTACACTTGACTGACCACAAACACAAATATATTATTATTATATTGTACATAGGTTTCAGAAATGTATAATATGACTTATAATATATATTGGGCCATATCGAACGATACGATTCTGTGACCAAACGGAGCTGGCCGAACACGACTTGCTGTAAGTGTGTGTCTGTACTCTATAAAATAATAATGGGTAGGTACTTTATAATATTGTATTATGTATAAGATACAGTGGCACACATAGTAATAATATAACATGGGACTACGCACTCGAGCGTACACGAAATAGAGTACCTACCTACGTATAGTAATACATATATACATTTTAAACTATAATATTATACAATTAGGTACATAATATTACAAGTGTAGCGGAAAACCCACGACTGATGTAGACCAAGGTTTCTAGGTCAAGTGTTTCGTGTAGCCAGCGCCGGACACTCGGGTAGTCGGGTACACGTCAATTATAGACAATAATTGATAATGTGTATTTACGGTTACACGCTGTGTATTGCGTGGACTAATATCGTTAATAATCGTTACGCGAAAAACACAAAAAAAACAACTATAAATCGGATCAATTTTCGGTATACTTCAAATTCGTTCCTTTCGGTGTGGAAACGCGGCACAAACACAGAAATCGCGAACGTTTTTTTAGTTGTATTGGTGTAATATACTTGACTGTGAGTTCAGTAAAATATTAAAAATGTTGACATTTGACATAAGTGAGATTTTTGTGCGAGTTTATATAGCGATCCTTCTTATTTTTTATTTTATATACAAGTAAATATTATAGAAAATGCAATTTATATAATATGTAATTTATTTGAAATCTGATTCGTTTAAACACCCAAAACAAAAACTGAGCACAGTTGGAATTTTCAAAAGTTGATTATTAGAAATCTTAAAATGTAGACTAGCCGATCTGAAGAAGATTTTATAACTAATTCAGATCAATTTGCTAAAATATTATAGCATTCTTAGGTCAATCGGTAGGATGGAAAAAAAGTGCATACAAATGAGCATAAATTGTTTACTTCTAATCATCACTTACTAAGCGCATATTCACAAGACCTGCGTGTATGCAGTTTGAAAATTGCCTATTTCGGACTCCTTAAAAACTGTCAACCACCGATCCCCTTAACTATAATAATATTACAATATACCAAAATAGAACGTAATCACATCGTACATTTTGATTTTGAAAAATTATACTATAGTACTATTAAATTAAGTTAAACTTTACTGACATCCAATTGCCCTTTGGGTGTTTTCTAAATTTAAAATAATTAAAATTTGAATGAGATTTAGAACCGCAATTGTAGAAAAATACTTGAAAACCTTATGATTATTTCCTGCAAAATATCTCATTAATATAGATATATCAAAGGTAAAACTGCAGTGGCGGTGGGATATAGGATTATTTGAAGCAATTGCTTCATGTCTGAAATGGGGGTGGAGGAGTGGGTTCTCGTGAGTGTATAATCGTAAGAACTCGACATAAATACCATGGCAAATATTATAATTAATAACTATTAATGTCCCTTGCTGCTTATTTTGGTTCAATGAAGGGATGGTGGTAAAAATATTTAAAATAAACAATATGCTTCAAAGCCTCTACAATTTCTCGAGGTACAATTATCTAGATTATTTATCAATGCTAAAGCATGTATCTATTAGATAATTCTAATTTTAAAGTCAGGTTATTGATGTGTTTGGTGGTCATATCTACAATTTTGGCTATTATTAAATAATGTCCTATAGTTTGGTTACACAATTACATTTTCTAGTTTTCGACTGCACAAAAAATTTTTACTGACAATAATTTAAAAATAACTAATAGATATCAAAAATGTCATATGCCCATAAATAGCTCAAAAAGAGTGTAATTGTATAAACATTAAGTCATAATTACCTATAGAAAATGTGCTAATATAAACATTCAATGTATATTTCATCTAGGTATCTACAGTTATTTTTTTGGATTTGCGCCAAAAAAAAAAACAAAATTGAATTTGGCAAAAACTGGTTTTGCGTAAGAAATCCCGTTTTTCCTTTTTTTCCGCTGAGATTTTGAAAATTGATGGTCATTTTCAATTTTAACCTCTCAAATGCACCAACAGAATCACTTTCTCATCATTAGAGTTACGGAAGTTGAAAATAAGATAATATTTCGTCTATATTTATCGTGATCTAAGATATTGTAATTTTAAGTGAACTATACTTATAGCAAAACTAATTTGCATAGACTAAGGAAAATTTTTAACATTGGTATTGTTAGCCAATATATTAAAATATAGAATGAATAGGTCTCCGAACAACATACCTACATTATTTAAATACCGAGTTGATTTTTTTTTGATATCCTAAAAACATACAAAAAAGGATTTGCAACTTCTATTATTATAACCAACCAGTTATGCATAACTTTATTTGCATTTATTTGCAATCATTTGGTGGTATTTTGAAATGTACATAGGAAATACCCGGACTGGCTAAAAAATTTAAAACATTCAGTGTGTATTTCATCTAGGTATCTATACAGTTATTTGTTTGGATTTACGCCAAAAATACAAAAATTAATCAGTTCAATAACTTTATTCTATATTGGCTACATAATATGGTTAATACCAATGTTAAGCATTTTACTTAGCAAATCAATTTTACAATAAGTTGTTTACTTCAATGATAGTTAATTAGTATGAAGTAGATAGGTATGATTAATGGGGAAAATAGGTAATGTGAAAAATATACTTTTAACATACGGTGTTACTCGATTGTGAACGATTAACGGATAGTTTAAAGAAATAATATATTATACTTTATACTTAGATGATTGCGAACGATTTTAAGAGTAACGTTGACTTTCATCTTAAATGTTCATATCATTCTATACTATTATAGCGATAAAGATATCAAATACGATATTGCGGTATCTATATTATCGAGCTGATATTGCACTGTCAATTATTATTACTGTAATACCTATAT